CTCCAGATAGTCATAGATTTAGGAATTCTCTATTCTGCAAATCAACCCGATCAGCTTCAGTGCTAGAGGCTGCACTGTGATAGCCGGATGTTCATAATATTAATAATCCTCGCATTTGATATAGCGCCTTATCAGGTCTTCATGATGTCCTAAAGTGCTTCACAGAATATACTGTAAACTGAATTGATTGCTATTTAGAGGGTGAAACGTGGCATCCTCGTAGTGCCCACAAACAGTTGTAATTGAGTGATCAATTTTTTTTAATAAAGGGATTATTAACCCCGGAAAAGCGATCCGCCAATCGACTAACAACCAGGTTTCTACTTACTACTAGGTAAACAGAGGCATGTGGAGTAAGGAAACTTGCCCGATGTTTTGCCCTGCTCGGGAATCGAACCCAGGTCCTCTCGTTTGCGAGGCGAGTGCTCTAACCACTTAGCTACAGGACTCCACTGCCTAAACCTCTTATCTTTTCCAGCAGTTTTAACAAAATGATCAAGATACAGTGAAAATCATCGCCGTCACCCACAAGTACTGTGTTCACAAGTGGAGCAAATTGTAATGTAAAGATTCATTTACGAAACAACATTGCTTTTTAAGATTAATGGTCGAAAAATAAAAAGGTTTGATTTGTAGGGAGTGTGGGGTGGGGGATCTGTCATTTTCATGACAAGGGAATAAAAGAGAGCTAAATCTGATGTGATGAGAGATTTGAATAGGAATATTGAACTTATAAGGTTCCTGTGTTACCAGGGATTTTTTTTTGCAGTAAATTACAGGAAATTTACCACCTTGTATATTTTATAATTCAGCAATCAATAGTAATATAACACCTTAAACTGCCAGAACAGCAGGGAAATAAGAGACTGATTCGATGTAATGTTACAAGCATTGTGAAGTTCTGATGAGACAGTGACAGGAATAACGAACTGATATCATACACGTATAGGGCATTGACATATAATGCATTTCAGAGTGTAAGGAAAATACTCTATTGAGACGGCATTTAGTGTTACACTTCAGACATTCCCCAGCATGAATGCTTTTAGCAGACTGAGACTGACAGGCTGGGTTTGCACTAAAATGAAATTAAGGTTTTTAGTGAATTGATAACCAGTTGAACTTTGTATGGCAGATGGAGCTTTGGAACGGAAAAAAATGACAGATGCTGTTTTGCAACAAAAATGAAAGTGTGCGATTTTTAACAAATTAGACCAATCCTCATTTATAATCAACTACACAACCTCCTAAACGGTTGACAGTGGGAGGATTGATTCTTAAAAAGACGTTGTTACTGGTTTGACACAATAGCATTTCTTCACTCGACGCAAGTCTACTGTTATTTTGAAGCTAATATTCAGACGCTGTGCAAGCCCAACTGATTTTGATTCAACTGCTTTCCCTATAGGCTCACTCACAGATCAATATTGCACCACGAGAATAAGTGGCATTTCAGTGCGAACAATCATGACAAACAATAGGCAATCAAGTGAGAAATCTCTAAACTTACAATTCATTCATAACTTCCAACGCTCCTAACAGTTACAGAGCACCAAATTATACCCGGTCTCTGATTCTACAAAGTCACTCAATTTAACACAGAGTAAATCTCACAAATTCCCTCCTCTCAAGTCTTCCTGAGTACTTAATGTTAAGACTTAAACGACAGCTGAATACAAATGTTTAGCCACCAACTGTGTTCCTGTCAATGACCATATATAATAACTCTTACAATGGACTCTCACTCATTTAACATCCAGAGAAAACATTCTGCTTGTTGTTCCAGTGGCAATAAAAGATAACTTAAGCAAGATTTCTTATCTTGACCTTATGTACTATGTTATTCATCCTTGAACATTGAATTCCTTGGCATAATACTTCTAAGGTCTCTGACATTTAAATCTCTTTATGTTCCAAACAATATTCAATGATGTCTATCTGCCCTTTTCCTGTAACCATAAATCCAATTCCTCAACAGATTTTTTTTTAAAAAAGGTGTAAATCAATACTTGATTACCTGCTGTTGGTGGGAGATCTTAGATTATGTCTCCCTCAATTTCAGTTTCCCCAAGAGGTTCAGTACTAACGAATGACAAGTCCTAATGAAAGACAGGTGTGACCAGGTTCATTGCTGGTGTAATTTGATGCACCTGAAAAATGTTAGTGTGGACAGACTGCAAAATGAGCACCTGTGCATTGGCCTCTATGATGTGCAAATGCCTCGGCGAGCAAATTTGAGGTTGATCCACAAGGTCTGTCTCTCTCTCTCAGGTCCACGGGTGAAATAAAATAAATCCCTGTGTTACCTCTGATACATCATATCCTTACTCCATTGGCTTCTCCTTTGGATACCCATTAAATTCAAGTACTTGTTAGGGTGCTTAGTATCTGTATGGAGCTGTTACTGCTGAATCAGGAGTTAATATGTTTTCCCAATGAGTGACTAAGAGGACATGTTTATCCAAATGTTCATTTGTGCTTTCAATCAAAACCTACACAGTTTATTAACTGTGTAATTGTGCAGTCATTCCACTTAATTAAATATCCAACGAGCAAATATCCCTATTAACAGAATTGGCAAATATCCCTCTGAACAGAATTGGGAAGGCAAAAGTAAAAAAAAATCTGTTCAGTGAATGAAGAGCATCTCCGCTGAGGTTGTTATATAATTCTATTCTTGTTTCATGTCCCTCAGCTTGTTATGGCTATCTTTGGCCTGGTTTGTAGACTGCCATGGGCAATATGTGACACCAATGTAATAATTGCACTAGTGATCATGTCTGAACTAAAACCAGTTCTTTATTAAACTGAAATGAACCCGAGTGATAATAAGGAAACATTTGGAAAGAGCACCATCATTCCTCTACAGTCAAGAAAGGAGTGTGGGTCAGTGCGAGACATGGAGATGCAATACAATTACACTTTTTCAAATCAGTGGACGTCGCAAAGCGTTTCATGGAATGGTGGTGGGAAGGTCTTTAGAATTCTAGAATTCAAAGGCAGGTGGCAGCGAGTTGTTGGACGTATAATACATATCCATGACTTCCCTTATGGCAAGTTCCTGGTCTCAAACAAGCTAAAAGGAAAAAGGTAAGTGAAGTTGCCTGGCAAGGAAGGAGGGAGAGCTGAGTTTTCACACGACTTTTAACAGCCAGTTTAGGCTTGGCAATGGAAGCGCAACGGTCAATAAGTTTATTATCTGCCCACTCTGACACACCTGGCTATGTGTGTGTGTTTGATGTGGTTGTTGTGGAGCTCCAGTATAGAGTTAGCGAAAAGCTCTGAATCTTAAAGCAAAGTATATCCATTTTCAAGTCCAAGTCATCAGATTGGAATTCTTCTCCCTGTGCATTAATAATAATAATAATCCTTGCATTTGATATAGCACTATATATAGAGTTCAAGGCTAGTGACAGATTGTGTTAATCTGTGAAGGTACTTTGAATGTAGACAACAAGCGCTGGAATTCCACAAGGTGTGTCAGGTTTGTAGCAACCGTGTGATTGAATGACACGGCTTTTTAATTCTCTTATCGCCTGCCACAACACAATGGTATCAGGGAAGCCAATGCAGCAGATTTTTGCGCAGAACTTTCAGAGTCGGCTATTCCTGGCTCAAAGTCACGTCGCTTCATCATCCACCCAAAGTATTCCTCCGGCAAATATACAACCACGTTACAATTCCTGCAGTTGCTGTGTCTTCCTCTCTGTATTGTTTGTGCTGCGACAACAGCTGCTGGCACCAAAACATGTCTTGGCTTTTTTCACTTCATGTGGTTTTACCCTCAGTCGGTGTTATCTTTCCCTTTGCCTTTTACTCCCCTCCACATGTTGCATTTTTCCAGCTATATTCTGAGATTTGGCCGTGTGAACAGTGCAAGGGAACAGTGGGAAATTGTCCTAAAGTGTCCAGCTGATCGGAATCCAAATCAGCAGCCTGTAAATGATGGATTCCTGAATTCACACCGATTTTGAATTAAGGTGACCATAATTGCTATCCCTGCACGATAAGGCGCTATATCAAATGCAAGGATTATTATTAAGGGTATCCAAACCAAGCTGAGATTTCCATGCTTCCCATCTTCACATGAAAATCCCTGTTGGAATGGAACGCGCACTCTCACTCTCTCCCTGGAGGAACGCACTGTGTTTACCTAATTCTGAAAAGTATTAAGTGTAGGTTGGCAGCAGCCAAGGCTTGGGGACCCTAGAGTGTGCGTTGGGGTAACTGCTGGCTAAACAGGTAGAACATGCAAGAATGTAAGGAGATAGCCTTCAGTAACAGGGACACCCGGTTATTAACTGTCTCTTTTCCTGCCCCGACATGAAAAGCAGATCGACTTGTGTATCTAGGAACTCTGTTTAAGGTAGTCACACTGCAATACGACAACATCTGGTATTGTACAGTGGTGCTGAGAGAACAGAGAGAATAAAGATCAATGCAAGTCTCCATGTAAGCACACATCAATGCATCCAACAGCATCATGTTCAGAGGTGCAGCTAAAGCCTCATCATGCATTATCTCCATCCATCATGTATTAGAAGACTCTTTGAAACGTGTCTTTGGCTTCCCATCGCAAACCCCTGCAGTACAGCAGGACTGTCAAACTTCTGACAATCTCTACACAGGACCGTGAAATAGAGTTGGTGCAATGCTCCTCCTACAATGTTCTCGAAAGTTCAGCAGAAACCTTTACAGCAAGTCAAATACCCCAAATTAGTGCTGCATTTGTTAGCAGGTTAGTGTTATATTGGGGATTTGTAATCACTGAAGACTGGATGGGCCCTTTGTTCTTTTTGTGTGGACTGAATTTGAACCGTGCATCCAGAAGTGTAAAAACAGTTTTCAAAGCACATTGCACTGCTCAATCCATTGTGGTATCTGACTTTGTAAGGCCTATTAATACCAGATTCTCTCGTCTGCCAATGTCCAAGCATGGCAGTTAGTGCTCTGCGCTATATTTTACAGCGGGCAAAAGAACATCGCGTTACTCTTTTGTATATTGTGAGTTACNAAAAAATTTATTATTTTCTTTACAAGTATTTCAACAGCAAGACTCAGAAATCCAATACTTTAAGGTACAGGCTTCACACGGAGACACAAAGCGCAAATTCTACAATAAAAGGCTTTCGGTCTATGCCAACGTCAAGCACAGAATGCATAAACTTTACATCGCAAACCAGACAGAGATGGTTAAATCACTCAACCGTACAGTAGCCTTTTCTTACCCACAATGCAGTCCTACTGTTTAACTGTTTAACAAGCGGAGGAAGCGCTCATAAAATGCTGCTTTAATTTGTTACATCTTTGGCCTCATTTTTGTTTGTTCCGCGCTTTGTTTTTTATATTGTAAAGTCTTTGGAATCCTCATACTTTACGGGTGACCATCTCACGACCCTCACCGCACGCACCACCACTGGCCAACGCCCTCATTTAAAACGGGAGGCGGGTTCACTCCGGGCCCCGTTTAAACAAAAAGAATCCAAATCAAACCTCGAGTCAAGAGTATCTAAACTCACTGATATTGAGACAGAGCAGAAATGTAGCTGACTGAGCGGTCCGTTAAGTAAGTGGAAGTGATGGGATCTCCCTACTGTGAGCTTTCTGATTTAACTCATTCCTTTGTCTCCATTTTGGATGGAGGTGCAAAACAATGCAACTAATTCGCCACAGAAGGAAAAGTGGGACAGCAAATCAAACATCAGCACACTGACGATGACTTGGTGTGACAAAATCCATTAGCGGCTTTGTGTCATGGGCTTCATGGATTACAACAAATGGGGGAAATTTTGTACTGTTTTACCATATCATGTAAGGTTCCTGTCTTTTTGACCCTGTTTATTAAAGTCAATAATTTTCCACCTACTTAATCAATAGAATAATTTACCTGAGGAACTGTGCTAGTATTTGGTATGAGGGAGGGGAAGCGAGTGAGGGAACATGAAAAAAAGAAGAGGGTAGAACTGTATCCACCTTTATCGGCAGCCAGTGGGCTGAATGTTAATGAGTCCAATATCAGTGCAATCAAGGTTGATAATGTGGAGGAAAGACTGCAGCTATAAAGGCATATTTGACATTTTAGAACAATCTTAAAACAATCAATGGGGTGAAAATATTTTTAAAATAGCCATTTGATACTCTGGTCAAGTCTTCTACAAACCGTCCATTTTTTTGTTTATTACGCTTCAAAATGTTGTTTTGGTTCAACTATCAACTCGAGAGTGATGGGGTTAGATGAATTGTTGCTGATGGACAGTGTGAGAACACAAGACTAAGAAGCAATCCAAGGTCTACCTTTGACATAAGCTGTGTGTATCCAGGCAAGAGAAAGCCAGGTGGTGTGGCATGTGAGCTTGATCCCCTGGTGTTGTATCAGGGTTTGGGATGAGGTCTCAGCTATATAGATGGCACAAAGGCCAGGGAATCAAGGATACACTCAACTGAGTGCAATTTTGAGTGTAGTGTCCAACCATGGTGCTGAGAACATCATGGGGAGGGGAGAGGGAAAGGTTGTACTTCCAACTCAAATAAGACTGGATGAGAGGTCTGCTGCAGATTCGCGCACAAAATAGTCAATTCATTTGACAGTATATTTTGTGAGGTGCTTTGAGACATCTTGAATATGTCTCAAATGCAAGAATTATTATTATTATTATTATTACCAGCTCACCCTTTTGTCTGGAAGAGTGCTCAGTATATGAGTGTTTGGGGTTTAAAAGGCAATGTGCCACATCAACTTCTTATNAAAAAAATCTTTCCATCTGAATAGTGTCATATTTTAGGATGATTTAAGCAGTGACACCACATATAATTGTAGGGTATTTACTTCTGAAAAGATCCATAGAAACTCTTACTGAGTAAAAACATACGAATGTAGTAAACAATATTGTGGAAGGAACACAAGGTTGAATAAAATTCTATTGCTTTCTGTAGTGAGCCTGTTCCTTGCATTTATAGTATTATGCAACACTAACACACTCGTCCATGTCAGTTTTATTAGGCTAGTCCCGTAAAAGTCAAAATAGCATCTGGGGATTGAAAACAAATTATGTTTTGCATGTAGCAGCCACCAAATTTTTGAACTATCGCATGAAATTAAACAAAGCATGTTCCGGGAATGAACACAATAGATATCTTCAACCTCAGGTGTGAATCTCTCTCTCTCTCTCACTTTGGGTGATCTGTTCTCCCGAGCTCTCCAGAACAAAATTAGATGAAAATTCATGAGGACGATTGAAAGTTCATACATTTTTTTTTTAAAAAACACCAACAACAACTTGCATTGGATAAGGAATGGAGTGCGAGGCAAGTTGCTGAAGGATTTGAATAGTTCGGTTATATTGTCCTTTGATGGCAGGGAGTCTGGAACAAATAGCCACAAATAGTGCTGTAGGAGCCTTGTGACAGGGATGCATGGAGGAAAATTGTACCTGCTTCACTTTAGTGCATCTTCTGGTGGGCAGCTTCAGTTACACTGGAGGAAGTCACACGTCACTCCCTCTACCTCAAAAAGGTGCAGAACAGATTTAGTGAATGAGGGAGAACCTACAAGGAGTTTCAAGAAAAAAGCACAAACAGCCAAACTTCAAACCGTGTTGGCTTATTTCAAACAAACACCTAGCTGGGTACATTGCTGAGTCTTTATCCATTACATCTTATCAATCTGCACATTTACAGGCCGGTTATATAAATTAATTAATTTTTTTAAAAAAAACAGCCTTTTGAGACAAAAAAAGGAACAAAATGTGGCCAAATCTCTTTTTATGATGTGTTCCCTTAAAAAGTACATTCACTCAGAAGTCAAAGAGAATAGGAGAAATTTATGAGGGAAGAATTCCATGAAGTAGAAGAACATATGATAAAGGTACTCTAAAGCAAAAGGCCCAAGCATGCTTAGAACCTAACTCAATGTGTCCTACTGTACATGGTGATTACTACTATAGTTAGAATTCAATCCATCCACCGGGGAATAAAGCACTTGGCAAGAATTTAGTGTGTGTTCTGCCCACAATACATTTTTACACAGCAAGTGTGTAAATAAGCAGGTGTACTTATTAAAAATTCAATTGTACCCCAAATGTCATTATTTTGGCTCAATATCAGGAGATGTAAAACCAAGTGATTAATCTTGAGTCATACGCAGTATGAGATCCACAACTTTTTACATGAACAATTTTTTGTAAAGACTTATCTTTCTCCCAAAGCTGGTACTTACATACAGTTCTCAATAGTTGATTAACAGAATGTTCTAAATAATTAAAGGAGTGGTTGGGGAATGTAAAACAACATTGGTTGAGTGGGCACTTTTGAACGGAGGACTTGCTTCCACTGGGAACTGATGAGAGCAGCAACTCATTTCACTGAGGATAGTTAAGCATCAAAGACAGAACGACATTCTATCCCAATTGACCCACACTCTCACCCACTGCGGACAGGACAGTGTTGTGCGTCTCTGACACACAATGCCAGATTAACAAGGAAGATGCATTTGCAGTTTTTGAGAGTGCCAGCACTTGGACTTCTAGCATGGTAACAGTCAAGAACCCTTTTGCATTGCATTAATAGTGTAAGAGAACAAGCTGTGTGAATCTATCTTTTAAAGCAATTCCCTATAATAAGCAACATACAGAGAGTAATTTGAGAGTTTACACCTTACAATTAAATCAACAATTGGTTCTGTACTAGCACAGACAACCACAATTTATTCGGCAAGAACTTTGAACTTTTTATTAGGAAACACCAGTGTGTTTGTGGATACCTCCAGTAAACACCATGTTACACAAACGGTGGTGAAAAAAATAAATTAAAAAGTCCAGCATTCAGGGGATGACTGGAAACATTAAAATGGCAACTAGCCACTAAAGGAACAAGAGAAAACTGAGATTGCAACTACACCCAATCTACGTCAAAAGGGTTAATGGTCACCTTATTACCACTTTTGGGCATTGAATGTCTTTGTTACACCGCTGAGATACAGTAATTTTCAGGTCTTTCCTCAGATCGCATTCATCTGCAATAGCCCATTGAGTGTACTCCACCTTCCTTATAATGCAGTCCTTGGAAGCTAAGCATTTTCCATGTTAGAGGTGCACATTCAGTGACTGTCCCAGAACACAGCATAAATGTGGTATGAAAGAGAACCAGGAGAAAAAGTCCAACCACCTTATAACACAACACAGCACTGTAACTGGGAGCCTTATAATGAGGGTGGACTGTACACATCTTTGCAATTGGTAAATGCTGAGGATTTCTTTCAGAGTTGTTGGCGTTAGCCAATTCAACCAGCTTTTCCTTTGCGTGGAGCCATCAAGTGTTGCAGTCAGCTGTTAATTGCAGAGTCACCGCGTTTCCCTGCAAAACACCGTCACCCTTTCAAAAAATCTACCTTCCAGTTCCTCAGTATGTCCAGGACTTTTCACATGAATAACAAACATTATAACTGATTACATATTCCGGTACAACAGACACACAGCACACTGCTGGTCCACAAGAACTAACACAGCTCTCACCCCTGGGATTGGCCGCTGCCTCTATGTAGGCCTCGGGCTAATTCTCCCCCCCGGTGGAGGCTGCTGCGGTTGCCTGATATTTTAAATGGGTCAGGCGTCTAGAACAAATAGCCCATTTGTTACAACTAAGACAAGCCAACTTGTCCATATTCTTTAGTATTTAAGTTATGGGTATTACTACAGCCATTACTGAAGCTGTTACTTGAATTTGAATGAAGAAATATACACCACAAATCATTCATTAAACCAGATTTTTTTTAACCAACAGCTAAAGACATTTAAATCTGACAGCCTGGGTAAAAAATACTGTGGGTTTAATGTGCCTCACTTCGGTTTTTTTCTCTCTCTCTTTGAAAACGATTAGGGACTTATCAATATGCACTGTTCATAAGTCTATTCCATTTATACACAATCAATGGTGTAAACATACATAATTTATATTACATGTGCTTCATCTTTTGTTTTGTTTTTTGTCACTAACACCACAATAGAACACAGTACAAGTCCATTCACAATGCACAGCCCAGAAGGTCTCTTGGTAATCACAGCTCCAGCCAATAGGTTTACATAGGAGTTTGTGCAAGTTCTGGGCGTCAGTCAATCATCTGATAAAATGCGGGGTGGGGCAGGGTGCATTTTTTTTAATACAACGAACAGCTTATTATCAGGTTCTCCTCCCGGCTGGGCTGTTTCTCTCCTTTCACACACTTAAAACAGAAAAGCAAAATGGAATATCTGGAGGCTTTTATTTGGTGCCACCACAAGTGTTCGTGAAGAGCTCTTGTTTCACTTCCTGTTGGGAGGCTTTGCAACTAGCTAGGCCTCAAGATGGCGGGCCTCCCCCAACCCCCCCCACCACTCCCCCACCCCTAGCCCTTCACAAATACACACGTCTCAGGTCTCCAGGGGATGTGATGGTGTTGCACTGTGGACAGAGTTTCTTTGCGCCCTGTGAAGAAAAAATAAATAAGAGTTAGAGACCAGCAAAGGGGGACAATCACATCAACATAAGATTATTTATTTCCAGTATAACTATCCTCCTTGGTAAGGCGAGGGGGTAAGCGGGGTTTCCTTGGAGCTGAATTGACATATTTGGCAATGGAATATCGGAATGGAGCCAGTCCTCTGTGCCGGTCTCTAGTCCGGTTCCTGAGCCAGGAGGGGCCGCAGTATTCCAGGGCACTCACTGCTGATGACAGCACAGCCCAACTTGGCTCATTAGCAGGACTTGGAAGGGCAGAACGGTCACTGGGGGGAGGGAGTCATCCCACTCAGCTCCTGCAGCCAAAGCCCTAACAAGCGAGAATGCTTGCCAGACAGAGGTTTTAATAGCAAGCTACATGGGTTCAGCTGTTTAGACGCACAGAACACACACTCTTGGGTCCTGGAGTGCCTTAGCTCTTGCCAACATGCACCAAACACTTTCTGGAATTAGGTAAGCAGGATGGGTCCCTCCAGGGAGAGAGTGCATTCCATTCCATTAAACATCTCTGGAATTTCCACGTCAAGGTGGGGTATGTGGAATTCTCAGTTTGACTCTTTTAAGCGTGGTGATGGGTTTCTGCATGTGTCAGACGCCTCGCTGACTGAAAAAAAATCCTACTATAATAATAACTTGCATTTATATAGAGCTCTCACATAAAGTAAACTAGACGTACAATCTGAAACACTGTACCCTATAGCAAAGGTACTATTTATTATTATACATTTAGCCCTTTGAAAATTCCAGGAGATTTCTACCCCAAAGTAATAAAACTCTCTTGCAGTTACAGTATAAAGTTAATACTTTTTTTTACAATGCTGTTTCAATCTATGTTCCCTCTGCATGCATTTCTGGCAACTACAATTTACAAGTATTTTCTGCCTACATTTTCTAATGTACAAGTGATTTTTTTCAGTCCATTTCATGCTAATCCCATAATTTAGTTGATGTATTAATTGGTCCATATAACGCCCTCAAGCAGTCCCGATGTGTGATAAATAATTAGCTTTTAAACCACAGAAACAATATTTTTTGGACCACAAAATACTTTAATTCTCTTTCTGTACTCCTCCTCTGATATATACAAACTGGTGAAAAAGCATTCTTCGAGAAATGACTTTTTTTTAAAAAAAGTTACCCCCATATAGTCTAGAGCCCATCCCAATTTAAATTCAGAACTCACAAGCCTAAATAATGGCACACATCATGATTACCCATCATACAAACACAAACAAACCAAATAATATTTGTACTATCAGTTACACTAAGCAAGTGTCATATTCTGCTCAAATGGAATTACCAAATAAATTGTAAGGTGTTCTAAGGTCTTGAGGTAAAAAAAATTATATGTTTTACATATGGAGTTAGAAGCAACTGCTTAGGAGTCGAAACATTTTGATAGGAGGTAAAACAACTGACAAACTCAAACTGTGGACATTGCAAAATATATATAATCTCAGCATTGGATATTCATACAGTTCAGCTATCGCCCATCAAGCCATCTTGGATCAGGTAAAGCATACCATGATAAATGCAGTGAGTCTATCTCATCTAACACAATAAAATAATTCCATCGCGACACAATCAGCTGGAATGCGCTCACAACAGAATGATTCCCGATTACATTACGGCAAGGCAAGACTCTGGGCAGAATCCAGGGAAAACTGCAGGGAAAACAAACATCTGGTCACATTTGTGCAACTGCTATTAGTCACACTGCCAGAAGAATGAGAACTGACTAGCACTGTGTGTCCTGTCAGCTGTGGTTCAAGATAACTGGGGCTATTTTCCGTTGGCTGCAATCTTTGCTCGCCATGCAAGTAAATGAGGAACGGGCTTATACAGCAAGTCTGATGCTGTGAAGTGCTAAAACTCTCGCTCACACTCTTGAGAAATGTTTGGGGAAGAACAAGGATCTATATCAGGAACAAACAAAGCTCGCCTGCAGCTTTACTGCAAAGATGGCATTTCACACCTTTCCAACATTCCTAAATAACTTTCAATCTGCCACATGAATCGCACAATCAATATTTTATGTCTCTCCCACAAGAGAAACAGACTTCATTCATTCAGGCCCAACTTATTCAGAACATTTTTAAAATCCCAGACTGTCCTGCGCCTTGGGACATCCTCCCGACGTGAAAGGCGTTAAAAACAAGTGTAATTTGTTGTTGTTGTCTCATTGCTCTGCTCAACTTGAAAGACATGAATGTTTTTAAAAGTTTTTTAAAAAATGTTTACTCTTCGTAACGTGCATGCGCAAGCGAGTAAGAGAGAGAGAGAATGCGTGTATGTGTTTGGGGAGGAAGGAATTTGTGATGAGTTATTAGAATATATTATCATTAGTAATTTGGCCCATATCCCTTCCTTTTATCATGTATGTACGTACTGTAGGGACATCAGAATATAGTAAATATTACTTTACCAGCCCTTTTGAAGTCAGACTCTGCCCCCTCATTCCCCAAATCCTGGATCCGCCCCCGTCTATCATATAACATCGGGAAAGATTGTCTGCCAGTTTCCAATGCTGCATATTATAAAGCAGAATGAGAAAAGTGTATGTAGCAAGAGTTTATTCAGAACATTTTTCAAACGCTTCAGATAATTATTTGGGTGCTGCAGTTCTTAAATGCATAAAGTGCATCAGCTATATAACTAAATCTTCACAAGAACACAATACAAGAGGCATAGTTTCAAGATTCCTCTCTAAGAACAGAAAATGTATGAAATACCATTTTCATTACATCCTTTTTAAGGCTAGTGGGCAGTGTGAATAGTGAAGGTGCTTTGCTCTTATTCTTTTGCTTCTAACGTTGTTATGATTTAAAGAAGTGAGAGGGGGGGGATATTTCTATTCAGATGTTTTGCAGAGCAAAGGGAAACATACTCCAATTATAAATATCCTTGCAGTTTAGTGTTAGAATGTATCTACACACTACATTATGCTTTTTTCTCCGAGATTGTTTATAAATTGAACATTAATCTGTGTTGAGTGGAAACCAAGGGGCTAAATTCCAATTGCACCAATCATTAGTTTTACTTCTTAAAAAAAATTATGCAGTTATTAGAATAATAATCCTTGCATTTGATAGAGCTCCTTATCACTTCTTCGAGACGTCTCAAAGAGCTTCACAGAATATACTGTAAAGTGAATTGACTGTATATTTTGTGGGTGAAATGCAGCAGCCAATTGCGCACAGCAGTGTCCCACAAACAGTCTTGGATTGAGTGACCAAATTATTATTACAATCAAAGTATGCAAACTACTGGGCACTGGGTTTAACATACTGCATTTTCATGACCGGCACCAAAGACTAACATATGCCTTCTAATGGTCAAACTGCAAGTAATTAAAATATTAGTCATCAAAATACTCAAACAATGTCAATAACTCACTCAGACCTTGTAATGGTTTATCATGGTGACCCATGTATACAAGTAGGTAAATAATCTACTATCAACTCATCTGTCACAGAAGATGACAGTAAAAAGGTGTGAACAAGCATTAGAATGAGTGTTTGTTTTTAACTACCACCAGAAGCTTGAGTGGTAAAAGGAGATAATGTGAGAATGATAACTGCTAACTGCTCTGCCAAGGCTGAATATTAACAGAATTATCAGTGAAATAAGTGAGGAGGCTTCAGTTCACTTGACAACCTGGTCTGTTAATGACATTTGCCTTCAACAATAATTCACAGTCAATTGCTGAAGTTATGCCATTTGAGAGACTCCAGGTGAATGTAACCTATTGAAGGAAAACATTTAACGGGTATATATAAACTCAAGAACTGCGAGATATTAAAACATCAAAATAATCGTAAGGTCAAAATAATACTGCAAAGCCAATCTGCCTGAAGCGATTTGCAGTTTCGTTTCCCCTCTCCCCACTATCCTCTACAGTTGAATGGTCCAAACCCCCACATGTTCCTGAGAAACAATTAATATATTTTGGTCAATCAACCAGAAACAACCCTCAAATAGTCATTCTTTTCATCAGCCAAGTGTGTCTGACAGAAACAAAAACCTACCCAAGCACTGTTCCACATATGCACGTTATCTTTTCATGGAAATTTCTGCATTTGTGGTCACTCATTATGTTCCCCTTGTGCTTATCTAATTCCATAAATATTAGGCACAGGTTGATGAGAGCCAAGTCTCAGGGCCTCCAGAGTGTGCACAAGAGCATTCCTGGAGTTTAACCAGCAGGACACCAATCCAACATGAGCTGCCTCACTAGTATGAGCCTTGGAGTAGTTGGCCTCAGGTACCCACCACCAGCAGTGAGTTAAGCAGTCTATCTGGACCTCTCACATACTTTATAGAAGTCACATTTAATTTGATTGTATCGCAAGGGCCAACTAGTTGCAGGGGATACGGCTGGCAAATAACACATATGGAGTGAGTCTGTGTGGCTTCATCCTCGCCATTTTTAATTTAAACTAAATACCGTCTTGCCACTCTGCTGCACAGCGAGGTTAAACAAGTTGCTGCAGGGGAGCGGATTAGCCACTTGCTGAACTTCCTATTACCACCATGGAATACCTCATTGGGGAAAACCTCACTGTTCAGCTCCTAATAAATCAAGAGCTTACAAAATACGACTTCTCCTGCAGAGCAAACGTGCCTACCTTTCGGACACTCTTTTCACAAGTGAAGAACCAAGCTTTACTAACAGCTTGATAGATTTATGGTCTTTCAGTTTATTTAGTCATGAGGATTTTATCAAAAGGTCAGAAATGGGGTGTATCTTAAAGCTGGCCGAGTTTCTTTAGCATTTCGCACTGTAGAGGGGAATGCCACTTAGTGAAGCACAGCAGGCAAGCTGAATAATACATTGCTGTCTGCTACAGAAATCCAACATGGGCAAACATTAAGTGACTCCATCCCGAGTCCAGCCACGGGAGACTGTCTTGCTCTTGTCTTGCTCGCTGCAAACTGTAAATTCCTAACTAGATGGCAACTGCTATCTAAGAGGATTAAATAAAGTGCAATGGCAGACTCCTGTTTAGTGTCTAAGGTTGTCTGGATCACAAATAGTTTCTTTTTTTAAAAAAAACACTTCACTCTTAAGAAACCCTGAAGGAGTACTTTTGCTTTTAGAAAGATAAGGCTATGCGTACAAAAAGGAAGCAATCGGAATGACAGAAAGAAAAACTATTTTTAAAAAAGGAATAGTAAAAATAAATAGTAGAATTGACAAAGCTGCTCACATAAACTCCATTTAAATGACTGCGGCCATTTCATTGTCACAGCAGTTTGGTAACAGTTAGTGCTGACAGTTCAAGGAAAGAACAAACCTACTCTTAACAGTTAACCCCATCGGTGCTATGCTATTCACAGCTCACACGACATGGTCATTTCCAGTAGAAATAAAATGTAAATGCCTTGTATTGAAGGTATACTGAACTGAGGAAATGTACAGAAGCAATGGGAAAGCTCCTAATCATCATTGACACCAGTGACCAACAAGATTTTTCCACTCTTGAGCAGAAGCTGCCAGTTACGATCAACAACAACAAATTAAATTTATATACCACACCAAATTCGTGTGTATTTATGTGGTATACCACAACAACTTTTGCTCTTAATTCTGAATTCTAACAGCAATATAAGAGTAATATATTAGTGGTACTGATGCACATGCATTGTGATAGTGTACAGAGAATTAGCAGCGTCTGGAAGTGAGAACAAGGGAATGATTTAATGTTTTGTAAATCTAACAATTTAGATTTAGTATTCAACTTCCCTATATATCACCAATCGGAACATTTTGCTTTTGTTCATCTTCCTTAATTTAGAGGCTGTTGAACAAACTGTATTCTTATTTGCTTTGGAAACCTCGAGACCAAACCACTGATCTCGCTGATCATCTGACAAGGTCTTGCAGCACTGGACACAACCAACCCTGCTTTACATGGTGAGGTCCATTTACAAGTAAACAGTTTTTAACCCTTGAATGTATATCCAGCTGGAACATACTTCCAAATCACACCTGCTTAAAAGACCCAGCTCTTCAGCCAGGCCAACAATTATTCTAAGTCATCTCAATTCATTACACATATCTACATCTTCAGCCATGCAAAAGCTTTTTGAAAGTCGTGCCATTCCACTCAACCACCCACATCTCCAGACTTGTCTGTACATTCAAGTCATTACAAACAGTCGACTAAATCCCACCCCTCTCCTCTCAGCACCACAGGGTTGTTTTACACACTACAACAACAACTTCACTTTGGGTAGTGTCCCTGAGCGCTGAATTAAATAAGCCAGTTTCCACGTTGCTAAACATATGACGGGGTATGAAGGAAATTTGTGCCACATTGTCCCCTCTCAAGTCCCAAGGTTTGCTTCTCTTTTGCCACACAAACACTCCTGGAGCTCAGAGCTACTGCAGTTAATAACATGAAGAAAAACAGTAGCTCTGGTGGAGTCATTTGCATACTTCACGTGGCAGGATCAAACTTTCCCCCAAAGTACAGCCTCCCACCACTTATATTCTAGGCCAGATAATACTTCCCAGTGGTTGCTACATTCAGACTAGACATCATCCATCACCATTAAACTGGACCCAAAGCAGTGTAAAACAAGTCTTTTAGCTTTCTAATCTATTGGGAGGTGGGGAGTGAAGTGGGAAGAGTAGAGTACATTGCAAATCTGAAAGCTTCAGTTACATGTGTGCTGTGGGAAAATCTAGAGAAAAAGAACTGCAAAATGAGAGAAGAAAGAATACATTCCCCCCACCCCTCCCCCCAGGTGGGGGAGGGGAGGGTGAAGAAATGATTACAAGTAAGGAAATGTTTAATCAAAATCTAAAGGAGTATCTTAATTGCAGCAATAAACTTAGCTCAACCCTGGTGTGCTTAAACCCCACAATAAATGTATGCCTTTTGGTTCATTAGCGTTTCATATTTCAAACCCTACTTAGGACTGTGGCAGCACGCCACTGCAGACACACACTTCAGAGAGAAGCAAAACCCTGCTCCAATCTTCCACAGCAGCAATTACAGTTACATGATCGTGTAACCGTGGAGCAATTTCCCCTGCTGCATCCTCAACTGTAAAAAGAAAACAAATCTTTCTTTGATAAAACAAAGCCAACTTAATGAGAATAACGTGCATGAGTATTCCATTTGCACGCATGCACACACACACAAACACACACACACAGCTGCCATGTAAAACTCAGAGTTTCATAAAAAAAAGGCCAGAGTAACAAGATTACACGCATTCACTTTGATTAAAGATGCAAGGGCCCTAGCATTCCAACTTTATTGCTGTCTTCAGGGTATGGTTTAATGGTAACATTAGTAACAAGCCGCCACAGCAAGCACATTTTAAAGGACGTCGTGAAAGTGTTTATATAATAAATTGTGTATTGGAAAAGTCTGGCTGCGAAACAGATGAGCATTTTCTTATTAATTGCTTCCTTCTGTACTGCAATGTTTGAACAGATTAGAACATTTCCCCCTGAAGGCACTAAGGCCAGAAAGAGAAAAAGAGAGCGATAGAGAGAAGGAGAGAAAGCGAGAGAAAGAAAATGAAGAAATGGAAGGAGATTCTTACCAGTGTCCTCAGCCAGCATTCCTCACAGTGGACGTGCCAACACTGAATTGATGTGAGGGGCATCGAGTAAGAGTCCTGAGCAAAACAAGAGTGTTTTTTAAAATTAATAATTTTGAAGAAAGCTTAAAAAAATTCAGAACTATTTACAGATTCAGGAATGCTTTTGTATATTAGATGAATGTATATATTTTGGTGACCAAAACGTCATGATACCATTACAATGTCTAATAAGTCTTAAAGAAATTGTGACATTTTTGTGTGTTTTTTAGATAATAGGGTAGATATCACGACTTTTTGGTCACCCTGCATTATAGAAAAATTATTCTGTTTCAATTTTTCTTTTGCTGTTGGGATATTTCTGAATGTTTTTGTGCTCAATAACAAGCAAACTTTTCTAGGAATCCTGTGTGAAAGGTAAGTCACTCTGATGTAAAAAGATGAAAAATATAATGATAAAGTACATGAAGTTGTAAAAAGTTGATGGTCCACAACTATTTGCCCAAACAGACAATTCAGCAGCACTCATCTGACTTTCTTCTGTTCCCTTCAAAATGAGTGAACTGATTTTAACAGGTGTGATATTCTAACACTTTGCTGTTCTTAACTGTTCAAGTAATAATAATAATGATCCTTGCATTTGATATAGCGTCTTATCACATCTTCGAGAAGTCTCAAAGCGCTTCAAATTTGCAAGTTAGATGCAAATTGATTACTAGTTCCTATTGCACACAACCAGATACTTTTGAAGACCTGACTAAAATAAAGCTTGCTAAAAATTACATTTCCCCAAAGATAACATTTCTGATAAGGTATGTTCATTCATATCCAGCAAAAGCTTTGAACTTGAGACTTGAGGCATTCAGCAACTAACTGACAAAACATTTAGTTTTGGCCATTTGATCCGCCATTCTCGTTCGAAAAATAAAGCCAGTAGTGTATGCACAGTGACTATTAAAACAATTCATAAATGTCCAGGCGACCACTTTGTTCCCGAGGATACCTTGTTTGGGCTGGTGATAAACAAAGAACAAAGAGCCTTCATTTGAATCGACCCGTTAGGCTACGGGTTAGAACAGTTAGCACTTGAATCATGGGAACTGAACACACACTTGATCCAGGAAGCAATTAGTAGTCATTCACTTCTATTGCAGTAGCCATTATCCTTTGATAACAGTGACATCCATCTACAATCACCATGTTTGGGCTTGCTGGTCTCCTAATATCCCAATATAGGTTCAAATATAATTAACTATACTTTACAGTGTGTATGTTTGTGTGTATGGGGGTGGGTGAGAGAGAAAGGAGGATTCTTTAAGACCCATTTCATTATACAATATTCCATTCTAGAAAGAGACTGTGTTCATGCAAATTAGGGTACAACATTTTATACAAATTAAGTTCTGAATGAAAGAAAACCAGAAGAAAATTCTGGTGTGTGAATGATTTCTTTGTGCAAGCTTCTTAAAAGCTGGAAACAAACAGTTTTAGTGGTCTATCTTACACCATTAGGGATCTTTCAGAAGAGGCAACTTATCATAAGATTTTGGCAAGTTGATAGATCTTATGGGACCCAATAACCATGTTTAATATAATGGGCTGCCTGCCTTGCTACGGTGATTATATGTATAGTAATGTTATACATACAAAGGAAATCAACTGGAAAACATGCTTCTTTGATACATTTAACTTCACTCACTACATCAAATGCAAGGATCATTATATTATTATGCATCACTGTTCAACAACTGACTACACAGATAAGTCTATGAGCTGAGAACCAGCTGGATCCATCTACAAGTATTTGAAATGTTGCTTTAAGTGACATTCACTATGCAGGAAAGAAGTAACTAACTATGGCTACGAGTTTTGCAAATAATAAATATAATGTCATACTGTCAGGTCTCTTTTTGCCTTGGCGATACCATGTTCAGAGATTTTAATTCATGCATAGTCCTTGCCACCAGGATCGCTGAACAAAAATATTTGTTTTCCTTTATCAGTTCTACTAGCGATTTTATCAGTTTTCAGGGAAATCGAGATGGTGTGAATGCATTTCTGAGGCTGACGGCTCGAGGAGCTGAACTGACTGTTGAAATGACAGACAGTGAAGCTGGGTTTACAACTTTCTGCCTATTGCTATCAGCTCAGTTCTCGCCTACAATCAGCTGAAAGCTCCTCCAAGCCAATTCTTCTGACAATATTGTAAGCATTCAGTTCAGAACAAAGGCTCGAACAAGTAAAGGCCACTCGGCCCCTTGAGACAGTTCCTTCCAAAACACCATGTACAAATTGCAGTATCATGAACTTTCCCTAATTTATTTAATCTCCTGATCGTAAATAACCACATGTAAAACCTCCAAAAAGTGAGCGAGCTCTAAAAGTTCACACGATCAAACTGCTGAAGGTAACCAAACAAAAAACTTCCAAATCGTCTGTCCAAAATATACTATTTAACTATGACCAATTCTATTCCACAAGCAACATTCCATGGGCCCAACAGGACTAAGCCATAACATTTCATAGAATACAAGATTGTTATCCTTACAATTGTCCATCTCATTCATCACCAGATGTGCATCAAGTACTGCTTATTGTTTCATCAAACATTTCCGTACAAGCTGAAGCATACACACATTTCTCTACCACTAGGAGGAGCTGAGACACCAAAAAGAAGTGATTTTGTACAAACTGCCTCTTTACAAGCAAATTATTTGTTCGATAACCAAGGAGAGTCTGCGGAAAGGACAGTATTATTTTACCTACATAATTGCAATGAGACTAACCAGAAGTGCTTCCACCACAGGTAATTGTGTGGAGTGAGACTGAGCCTAATCCAGCTCTCAGTCACCCTCTAAATAGGCCTATTGAGTATCAATAGCTTGGGGAAACAACTGTATTATTTTTTATGAGAAATGTCTGCTCTCTGATTAAACAAGTGCATGTAAAGTCAAATACAGCACTTAATGCTTCTTAATAGAAAATTTGCTCTGTACAATGGATGTATACAGAGGTACCTACCTAAATGTAATGAGTATATTTAATAGTGAGTGTAGAGTATTTCTGCAGTGAAACAAAAGACTTGTAATATTTTTATGAACTTTACCAATCCAGAAATCTTGTAAAAAGGGTTTCTCTTCTTTGCCCTATCTGCAATCTAATGAGCCAGCTGTACTGAATGAAATTCATGAAAATGAATTTCTTTCTCTAAATTCTAGTATTGAATCGCAAGACTTTGTAAGGGAAATACAGAAATTCCTGTAAATCCCGATGATTTCAGTATTTTCCGAAATGAATGGATGATTTTCAAGAGTTCTGAAACACAGAGCAACACCATTCCATCATTAAGGAGGCAGCAGATAGCATGGTTTCTGACATTCTTGGTGAAATCAGGCAAGAAGCACAGACGGAACATTTAATCAAATTGCGTGGTTTGAAATATGCATTTCAAGAGAATTTCTTCCCGCTTAGGATTGCATTTGAGTGAAATTTCTATATGCATGTGGACACTAAATTGGTGACATTCTGAACCAAAACAGATTTCTTATATTAGAAAATGCCATAATGACACTGAGTAATGCATTATATCCAACTGGGACCGTTTCCTGTCACTTATTTTAAATTCAAATGTTAAAATACAATTGAAAAACAAAAGCATTTATCATCTTGTAAAAGTTAGTGTGGAGGTAATAAACAGATTACTAAATTGACTAGAAGCCATGATGTAATCCTCAACTGCATCAACAATGGTCATTTGACACCTTATGATTTGTTACTGCAATCAATCTGAATTTCCTTTAACATTCAAAGGCCTCTAGTTGGGTTTAGTTGAACAGTAAGGGCAAAACCGCTACCATTTAAAAGCAGCTTCAATATATCAGATGAGGAATGCACAAAAGGCAGAGATTACCAAAGAAAACAAACACAGGAGTGAATTGAGTCTTAAAAAGCTTCAATAGGTCAGTTAGGAAAGGCCAAGGCCTGTGTGAAATTGAGCCGTACAAATTGGGTTCTGGTGCCATGCCCCGTACAGCTCGTCACCACCCACTCTCCAGACTCGCAGATGAATAAAGACCTGGAGACTGGAGAGTGGTTGACTCCTGTCCAACTGTCCCCAGAAAACAGTAGCATCTTCAGAATGTTGGGAAAACTGGAAATTAAATTCCAGGGATTAAAAAAAGGTTGACTTGTGCTTCGATTTCATAAATGGCACTGCAACAACAACAAGAAGATTTCATTTATAGAGCGCCTTTCACGTCGGGAGAATGTCCCAAGGCGCTGGACAGTTGGGTCGGGACCCGCTGAGCAGGGGGGAAATGGTCAGGGTGAGGGGAGGGAAGGGAGGGAGCGAGGAGGGGGTAGAGAGTCGAGAGGGGAGCTGAAGGCATGGTCAAAGAGACCGGCCTTGAAGGAGGAAAGGGAGGAGGCGGCAAAGGCACTGGGGGATGGAGTTCCAGAGCTTGGGGGCTGAGAGGCTGAAGGCCACCGATGGTAGGGCGGTTGGGGCGGGGGATGTGGAGCAGACCGGAGCCAGAGGAACGGAGGGTACGGGCAGGTAGGTAGGGGGATAGTAGGTCAGAGAGGTAGGAGGGAGCGAGGCCGTGAATGGCCTTGTAGGTGAGGATGAGGATCTTGAATTCGATCCTCTGGGGGATGGGGAGCCAGTGGAGGCGAGCGAGGGGAGGGTGGGAGTGATGTGGTCCCGAAGCTGGTGCGGGACAGTACACGAGCTGCAGAGTTCTGAATGACCTGCAGTGTGGAGGGAGGGCCGGGAAGGCCGGCGAGGAGAGAGTTCCTGTAGTCCAGCCTTGAGGTGATAAAGGCGTGGACCAGAGTTTCAGCAGCGTGAGGGGTGAGGTAGTGCCGTAGTCTGGCGATGTTCCGGAGGTGATGGAAGGCGGTGCCAGTTGTGGCGCGGATATGAGGAAGAAAGGACAGCTCAGGGTCGAACAGAACCCCGAGGTTCCTGATGGCTTTGAGAGGTGGAGAGTGCAGCCTTGGATGCTGATGGTGTCAGCGCCTGAGGTGCGGAGGCGCTGACGTGAGCCAATCAGGAGGGCCTCAGTTTTACGCACGTTGAGCTGAAGAAAGTTGTCTCTCGTCCAGGACTCGATGTCGGACAGGCAGCTGTCAGGACATCGGTGGTCGTGGAGGAGGAAAGGTAGAGTTGGGTGTCATCCGCATACATGTGGGAGTGAACCCCATGTCTGCGGATGATGTCACCACAGGGGGAGCATATAGAGGGTGAAGAGGAGGGGACCGAGGACAGAGCCCTGAGGGACACCGCACGAGACAGTGCGGGGGGTGGAGGAAAAGCCGTTCGTGGAAACAAAGTGAAGACCAGGGCAGTTTCTGTACTATGGGCAGCACGGAAACCTGACTGAAGGGGTTCGAATAATGAATGGGTGGAGAGAAAAGAGCGTAACTGGGAGGCGACAACTCTTTCAAGGACCTTGGACAGGAAGGGGAGGTTGGAGATGGGCCGGTAGCTTGATAGCTGCGACGCATTAAGTGAGGGTTTTTTCAAAGTGGGAGTGATGGTGGCAGTTTTTAGGGAAATGGGAAGGGGAATGGGAAATGGGAAAAATTATTACTATTACCTTACTGATATATAAAAGATTTAAGTAGGTTGTGTAAGATACACAAGCATAAGAAACTTAATTTTGTTTACTGACTATTTGGAAGAGCATTGTGTGCACAGGTTGTATTCAATGTTGTGGCAATTAATGTTAAGAAGAATAAGCAAGGAATGAAATGTTTATTTTTTGAGGGAGGGTAGAAGAGAAAGGAAAATAAAAATTCAAAAACTGGGGTTATGGTTTAAGTTGATGCATTCTTACATCAAATGATCTCTTGCAAGGCTCCATCTGTCAAAAGGCATCACATGTTAAAAATCAAGTGATTTGGAGCTCACGAGTGTAGTGTGGGGTGAAGCTCATTGATATGTGAAATGCATTTATGTGCCAATTATTCTGAAGACCCTATGCCTTTAAAGCCCCCTCCAATATGTTTCGAAATAATTGTACTGTACATTAAGAGAAGTCTCTGTGGGTCATCTCAAAATCCAAGCACAAAAAATAACACAAGCATTCTAGAATACTGTGTAGTGTCACTTACTGGGGAACTCAAATGATTTTCAATGAATTTATCCAGGAAAAGGCCATTCAGATACACAGATTTAAATGTAACCCCATCACATTACAGTGGTCCTGACCCTACTGAATGGAACATTATAAAATTCTTAGCAAATGAAGTGACTGGTGCTTTAAAAGGGTTAAAGGCTGCATACATGAAATATAAAGCCAGACTTGTGGCAAGACCGAATGTTAAATGATTAACAGATTTGTATAATTATACAGATATTGATTGTTAAAGACGTGGTCTTGTTTTTAACCTATGCAACCTGATCCTGTTGAACACCCACATAAAATTGGCACTAAAAAATGAATTGACTAGCACCTTTACAGATGAATACGATCACACCAATTCATTTTTTTTTACTGTACGCCAGTCTGGGTACCACAATTATTTCAGATAAGAATAAAAGGTACGGTATTAAGCATTACTTTGAATGAGATCAAGAGGAATAGGGATTGCTGTCATCATCCCACAGAGAAAATCAGCTGAGCGACTGTTGATACTTTGGATCTAGGCAGTCATGTGATCTTCCTTCAATCTTCCTACGCGAGACCTTATTTTGAGACAAATCTTAGTCCTTTGCCCAGAAAAGGCAGCATTGAGATCCCAACAATAACCGGAGATCACAATGAGAAATCAGGACATCACACAGGGAAGTTGACCTTTGTTTAAAAAAATGTACTGGAAGAAAGGCATTCCTATAGAATGGCAATCTAGTACACAATCTCATTGAGTACCTTGTTATAACAGACCCAAAGCATTTCTCATCCTGAGCTGTCAAGACCAACATTGCTAAGTAAAAGCAAGTTATGTCCTGGTGCATAACACATGGAGAAACACCAGTATTCTACCACTCTGAACTGCAAAGGAAACAACTGCCGAGATCAATAAAATGCTTTTTGTTCTATTGATATCAAAACTAGTGCCCTGAGACTATTCATTCAGTGATAACTCCTTTCAATACAGCAAGTGGCAGTAAAAAAAAAAGCACTCTTATTTATTTGGGAGACCGACTGCTTTTAATCTGACTTCTCAAACAATTTCCTGCTACAGATGTTAGATAATCTATAATTTCCAAGTTTGCATCTCAATCCTTTTCGAAAATGTGCGTAACATTTTCTTGATGGGGATAACGCATGTGGCTATATCTCCAGGTGAAGGCTCCTTGAATTATTCCCATCAAGCAAACATTATGCTAAAATTCAAAAAGGAGTGAGACGTGAGACCAGAAATTACAGACAGTTTGTCTTAACATCTACAACAGGAAAATGCTTGAGAGGATTATATGGAATGCTATTAACGCTCATCTAAAGAGCCCACAGGGTGTAAGGAATCGTCAGCACAGATTAGAAGCTATAGGTCATACCGCTTGCCCCTAGCTACTGTTTTACAGTGACTGAATAAGTCAAAACCTGTTTTATAACAGGAGATTTGAATTGGTGTTTTGGGGGATCGCATTTCGAGTGCTTTTGTTCTTCCTTGCCACTGTATTGTTTGGGGTCTAAACAAATTTCTCTGTTGCTAAACCTAAATCAGGCTTCACAATGTCAAACCGACATGTAACAATAACACACAACAAAGACAGGGGTTATGGTGATAAGTCACTGGGAAAGACCCTTGGGAGTTTGATTTAAATTTTAAGGCATGAGCTGGTGGTAACAGGTTAGCTATCAGCCCAACGTTAACTATCAACCCAAGGAAACCTGACCAAAGTTGGCTTCAGTAAGCTGCGACTCAAATCCGAACTGGTGAAAAACAACACAAGAACTTTGCAAAATAACTGCACTGTAGAAAACAAGCACGAATATGGCTGAACAAACAATAAAGACAGCACAACTTTCACAATTCCAAACACACCAGGAGAAGATTGGAATTTTTTTTTTAGCAGAAACAGAAAACCTAACAGTCTTTTTAAATTTCATTTTCCTCTGGGAAACGTGAAACAGACAGTCTGCTATATATAAGAGAGAGAGAAAAACAAACTGAGGGCAAGCCTAAGGCTTAAGAGAAAAGGGTAAATAACCTGACCTATCAGTCCGAGCAGCATCTCCTGTGAGATAATGACAATTCTTATTTATATGTGGCTATTGAACAAATGAGGAACAATAGAATAAGCTCATTGTGTTTCGATTCTCTCCTCCATTTAGAATGCAGTAGTCAAACTTACATTGCAAGCAGATTCACAAGCCACAGATTCTAAAGACCTGAGATTGACTGACCGACTAACAGATGCAGTAAACAGAAAATGTTCAAGCCAGCGTTCAATATATAATAATAATAATCCTTGCATTTGATATAGTGCTTTTCACGTCGGGAGGACGTCCCAAAGTGCTTCACGGAACACACTGTAAAGTGAATTGACTGTATATTTGTGGGCGAACCCGGCAGCCAATTGCGCACAGCAATGTCCCACAAACAGTCGTAGACTGAAAATGACCAATTTATTATTGTTTTTGGCTTTGGAGGGATTATTATTAGGCTCTGTGTGGAGTAAGGAAACTTGCCCAAGATTTCGCCCTCTGCCGGGAATTGAACTCAGGTCTCTCACTTGCAAAGCGAGTGCTCTAACCACTGAGCTACAGGACTCCACAATTATACAACATATTTGTACGAAAGTCCCATCAGGTTGAGGACACATATGCAATACAGCATTTCATAGTGTTCATGTGCTAGTCATACACTCACCCTGATGTGGGAATGATACTGGTACTGTGATAGCAGATTCCAATCTCCTTATCGAAAGCAAATAATTGGTAAAGATTATCAAAAGTGAATATTGTGCTGAATTACAATACAAGGGCTCTAGGACACTACCCTGTGTGAGGGGTGCTATATAAATGCAAGTTGTTGTTGTTGTTGTTGAATTGTTCTGGGCAGCTAAACATCAGAGGAATCTGGTTCCAATCTAGTTCATATATATGGCGGCCAAGCAATGAAATCAATCATTTCAAACAAATCAAATTTACCTCCACCCTTCAAAACCTGCTTTCACTCACCATCAGTAGGCGGGATGTCTCGTTTGAAGTCAGCTATTTGAAGAACTTTTATAATTCAAAAGCAAAAATAAAACAAAAAAGATTTGATTTTGTATAAACTAAAGGAAAAAGGACTTAGCCTTCAGGTTTTTTTTTGACTTTGCAACTGTCCCCAATGAAGCTGAACAGTTGCACTGTAATCAGAAACTATAGTATTAAAAGTGCTCTCTCAAGAATAGCCTGACAATAGTAATGGGAAAGAAGTGCTTGCATCCACTGCTTCACTTCAAACGATACTTACCAAAATTTATGTGAAAAGAAATAGAACTACAGACTAGTCATTGATTGTTAGCAGCAATACAGACAACGCTATGATTTTTTCTACAATTCCACAGTGGAGCATAGTGAGGGCACATACCACACATACCATGCAAATAAGACATTTATACCGATCCCCACGAGACAGCTGTCGTTCCAATTCACGGATACGGGCTTTCAACGCTTCGATTGTCGTTACGGTGGCATCCTCCGATATCCTGAAGAAACAAAAGAGGGAATAGTGAAAGGGGTTCACTCGCCGGATTCACAATGGATTTACACTTTTTTTTAAAAATGCACAAGGCTCGTGTTTTGAGGATCAACATATTACAGAAAACTCACAAATTATTTTAAATCCTGGTTTAAGAAAAACAATCCAGCATTTTGGAATTCTGCAAATTATATTAATTACCTAAGAGCTAAAGAAATGGTTCCTTTCTGAATATTTGTTTGGTTTTGGTCAATTTTTGTTTTGGAGCGATTAAGAGTTCAAACCCTGTCAGGGCTTCAAAAAGCAGTACACGAGCGTCATCACGTGAGAGACTCCAGCACCACGATATAGTCAACAGTCTTAGCTCAGCAGGATTTGCCTTTGACAAATTGCAGAGTGATTAACAAGCACATCACTGAAAAGCAGACTAAAGTTTTAAAGCACCTCTGGAAAGTGCCCAAATTTAAGTGCTACAATGCTAAGTGACAGCCTTGTACTTAGATCTTCACACTTGTCAGGTCACTGAACAGTTCGCAGCAGAGAGGGGATGTCAAACGGAGAATCAAATTAAGAATAATTATGTTATACTACGATGCCAGTCACTAAGATGAATGCAGAAAAAAAAGTACAAGCATCACACAAAAGCATACGAGGAAAGTCGGACCAGACCCATCTTTCCCACATATTTAACTTCCCGAGATTAGCAAGAAATAGTTTTTAAAAAAACAACTGAATCTACCTACCTGAAGACGTTTCTGATACCAGTGTCAATGTAGCGAAGAGACTACAACAGTTTATAATAATAATCCCTGCATTTTATATAGTGCCTTTCACGTCAGGAGAACATCGCTTCACATAATACTGCAAACTGTGGTGTCTGTGTATTTTGTAGGTAAACATTGCAGTCAATTTACACGCAACAATGTCCCACCAACAGACATGATGTAAATGACCAATTTTATCAGAGGGGCTGCTGGAGAAACTCTCTTCTCCCTTCGAATAGTAGTGCATAGCACCACAAACAGAGAATCCAAAGTTCCCACCTCGGCTGATGCTCAACATTTTAGGATTTGTTCACATTTTCTGGAGCAGAAGTAATGAAGAAAATCACTGTCAAACATTCTAACTCCAGACCCTACACTGATACTGCCTGCCCACAACAGTGGATGGAAGGCATGGAATAACCATAGTTACCTGACTATCCTCACACTCAGAATCCAGGATACAGGAGCCTGAAAGATACCAGGATAGAACAGAAATAATATTTTAACTATTATCATTATTCTAATTATTATTATTAATGAATCAGATATTGCAATATACAAACGGTATTGATGGATTTAAAGCCATTTCTAATTAATTTGGGTTTCACAATGGGATGGAGAACCATTCAAATAAACAGATTTTGTAATCTCTAAGAAAGGAAATATCCACCCAGTAGTCACTGGATTGTGCTGCTCAATCCCCCTAAAGGAAAGACATTTACACAGCATGGTAAAAGGGAAGGGGAAGACAAACATTTCATTTGGACAAATGTGAGGGCAGTTTGCATCCTATATGTTATAACAACAAGGTTGATAATATCATGCCCTCATTGTTAGTTTCTGCTCGAATAGGCAATGTGTGAAAGTACCCTTCCATTGGTTCAGACAATAACATCTTCTTGAAAATGGCATTTCAACACAGCAAACGGAGGCAGAAATGGGCAGTGTTGTAGCAGCGATCTGCGCAATCTGATTGATGCAATACCGACTGACAGTTTGTTTACACACAGGCAGAAGGCCCTGGGCTGTGAGGGCATAGGTGGCCACAGGGAGGAGATGGTAATTGTGAAGTGGTGTGATTTACTGCAGCGAGGCAGTGTGCACCAAATCTCTAACAGTTCCATCACCGTGTGAGCATAGCCAGAATCAGCCTGAGCATGTGAAGTTTTGTGTCTCACATTACTAAGCTGCATTTCTAAACACTGGTGTACTAATGGCATCCTTCTATATTGTGGACGTGGCAATAATAATAATAATCCTTGTATTTGATATAGCGCTTTTCAAGTCTTCCAGACGTCTCAAAGCGCTTCACGGAATATGCTGTAAAGTGAATTGACTGTATATTTGTGGGCAAAATGCGGCAGCCAATTGCGCACAGCAGTGTCCTACAAACAGTCGTGAATTGAAATGACCAATTTATTATTGGTTTTTTTGGAGGGATTATTATTAGGCTCTGTGTGGAGTAAGGAAACTTGCCCAAGGTTTCACCCTGCCAGGAATTGAACCCAGGTCTCTCACTTGCAAAGCGAGTGCTCTAACCACTGAGCTACAGGACTCATATAATAGCATGCAATGGTGATACTATCCTCATTGGTCAGTAGATGTAATGTGGAATGACAATATGCACAACTACTTTATTCTCAAAGCTTGAAAACAAAGAGGCTTGAAGACAAAGACTTAACATATGTAGGTCAATTTGCCTAAATCATTCTGCCTCACCATCAATAGCCAAGCCTTCAGCCACCATTCCTCTGCAACTCTCTTCACAAATCATTTTGCCTCATTTTTTTGCTCCCTGTTTTTCCAAAACACTCTTAAAATCGTATCTTTTCTACCGTACTTTTGGTTAACATCTGTAAATCTCTTTTTCTGTTCTTTGGTCTCCATTATATTTCTTAAGTGCTTCAAGATAGTTGAAAGGTACTGTACAAATGCAAGCTGTGCACAATTGCATCTTTTGCTTGCCAACTTAGATTAGACCTGACCAGAGCCATGCAGTGCAAGCAATTTATCTATCGCTCTCCTTCCCAAAAAAACAGATTAGAAAGATAAAGTTGGTAAATGGCACAATTTGGTGAAAAAAATAGGTCTGGGAGGAAAAGAAAGAACCCATTCAACTGCATAAAGCAATCTTTTCTGGTGCAGGAGGCAGGGTTCAACACTAACCTTTTTGCGTAGCCAGTACCAATCAAGTGAGTGATCAAAAATATCCATTTACTTCACGAAAGAACACCTCATGTGAAATAAGCACCTTTGAGTCGTGGGAAGAACATTCAAAAGAACGAGCTGATCACTTTATGTTTCTGCACAACCAGTAGCCATTTATCACTTACGTAGGGGTCCTATAAACCACATCTATTCGTGCAAGTAAGCAAGCTTTAGCGTCAAGACTTGAAAGGGCATTTGTTTTCTGGAAATTTAGTGCTGCTCAAATTAGCCTGGCTACATTTATTCACAGCACTCGGGAGGTCTGGCCAAATTTCACACGTCAACAGTCACACATTGATTTTGCAGTTTAAAGAAGTTTGCAACGGTAACTCCACAAATCTTTGAGAAACAGCTGCGAGCTTTACTGCTGAAATAAATGTGGGAAATAAGCACAAGAAATTAATGCGACAACGTGTAGACAAACAAAGAAATTGTGCCTCACAATAAAGCCATTTGTGAATCAGAAAAGACCACAAATTAAAGAGCCTGAAAATAGCAGATCTTTTGGTGTAGTGTGTTAACTGTCCAAAGCCAGTGGTAAGAATTCCCAACAGCAAAAGAATCCAGTAAACATTCTTTTGCACTTCCTAGTGGTAAGTAAATAGCAGTAATATCACAGGTTTACAACTAGGTCACAAAACTGCCCTCAGTTAAAGAACAGAGTGTGAATCAGCTTATGAATAGTGAACGGAGAATTGTTTTTAAAATATAATGCAATTTACATTGATATAGCATCTTTCATATCTGTGGGGCTTCTCAAGGAACTTGACACTGCTGGCTGAAGCAGCCGAGTGGACGGAAGGGAAAAAGTGACCAAAAGCACAGGGCTTGAATGAGGGGAGGGAGTGAGTCAGAGAGACTCCATGGTGAAGTTCCAGGGTGCAGGGGTGGAAGCCCACCTATTCACTGAGCGAAGGGAGTGGACAAATTGAAGAAGGTCAAAGGTATGGTGGGGGCGAGACCGTGGAGGATGTGAAGGCAGCGAGATGGTGGAGGCACGTGAAGGTGACCCAAGGTCAAGCCAGCAGGAAATAACATCAAATAGCTGGTGTGATCCAGCTTGTAACCAATGAGTAAACTACATCAAGATCTGATTTAGTTGTAAAAAATTGCCATGCTCGCCACAGATCAGTGCAATATGTGAATGCTGCACAATCAATAGAAAGACTATTGATTTACTTATTGTAGGTTCATACGCTCCAGACCTTGTTAAAAATACATTTATTAAGTGGACAGAGCTCACAAATTAACCATTTCAGCACGCTTCCCCCAACTTCACAAAGGAGCCAGCAACTCTTTTGAATATTTACACGTAACGTTCACGTTTACTGAAAACATACTGGTTTAGTTGTGGGGGTACACAAAACAAACCTATTTAGATCCATGGACGTGAAATGTTCTTCACTTGGGAGTCCATATTCTTCACCCTTAGAACTACAGTGTATCTTGTGAAGCATTTTGAGATATCTCAACGACGTGATAAGGTGCTATATAAATAAGAAATTGGTCACTCAATTAACAACTGTTTGTGGGACGCTGCTGTGCGCAATTGGTTACCGGGTTTTCACCCACAAAACATACAGTCAGTTCACTTTACAGTATATTCTGTGAAGCGCCCTGAGACGTGATAAGACTCTATATCAAATGCAACGATTATTATTATTATTACATCTCAGCCGGTCACTCAATTGTGTTTCTTTACACATCCTAGCTAAGAAGAATTGCCCAGTGGCGATGATCTAACTGCCAAACCAATCTCTCTCTTAGTTGCTTGATGACTAACTCCAGCCATTAATTTCCAACAATGTCTGCTGTTGTATAACACAGAACAAAGCCAGTGATTCTTTTTCGAGGGAAAAAATAAATGACGTTTAAACCTGCTAACTTTAAAGATACGTCAATTGTGACCTATCAAACATACACATGGCTTGTACAACAATGGGTTTAATTCTTGCTATGCAATGATCTCAGCTGGGGAGCTCCAAGTTACTACTGGTGTGAAGGGCGCCTTATAAACTCGAGTTGTTGTTGTTGG